TAAGAGTACACAAGTAAAAACCAGTTAAATAAAAGAAATACAATACAATACAAAATTCAATCTTATTTATGAACTAACTTCGAAAAAACCATATTTAGTAAACCTTATAATGCACAAGTTCATAGAATGAAAAATGTTTTACGACAATCACTCAAGAATCTCAACATTATATTAAATCTTTCGGGAGACATATTAAATTACTTTGTGTTCGTATTACTCACGTAACTGTTTGACGGGGAACTCGACTAGTTTCAAGCCATGCTGGAGGCTCATATTCATGTCGCGGCAGTAACAGTAGAAACTAGTTGAGTTCCTTGTCAAACACTTCCTTGAGTAAGCCAACAACATAATAATTAATCTCAACATAATACTCACATTAAAATACCTATCTTCAATCCTCTCACCATCCCCAGTGAACACACAAGCAACATCTTCGTAGATGCTGTTCATCATCACTTTAGTCTTCCCTGTCTCCTTCAGCACTGGAGTAGAAGGCAGACGGTGGAATGTACTGTATATCCTGCACTTATTCTGAGACAAGTCTGTGGTCTTCTGCAGTTTCTCGTTATAGTCCAGAATGGAATGATGTTGTGTTGTGGATGGTTCCAGAATGTATGGAAGAATTGAGGAGTTGGTTTTTGACTCTGGAATTGAGTAAAAAATTAAATTTTTGCATATTTTTGCATGTAAAGAAAGCTGCTTCCATAATATTGTTGGATTGCCTAACAAAGTTATAGTAATAATAGATTTTAAAAGGTAAAGTGTAGTGCAATAAGCTGTATCATTTATTACTTGTGACTCATAACAATACACAACCACAAACTTTGGATACCAACATAACATCACACCTTTTATCACCAAAGGGGTAGACAGAGGTGCACATTATGGCACTTTTCACTATTTATGTTATGAGTCCCATGTAAAAGGGGGTGAGCCTATTGCCATATACCGGGCACGATTCCAGACTTAGTGCTACTACTGAGATTTTTTTTAAAAACCCGGTAACATTTTGAATACTAAGAACCTAATATTAGTATCCCTATTTTATATGAGTACTTTTATACCTCGAGTTATTAACCTTATAAACTATGAAATGTAAGTTTATAGACCAAGTACCTAGTTTACATGTCTTGTTCAGTTTCAGCATGTGAGCATTCCTTTCAGTCTGCGCAGCATTTGATGTGGTCTTCACTCTCTTGGTCTGGTGTACCAGTGTATCATTCTGCGTTAAGTTATTGTAGTGCCTGTGAAATATGAAAATAAGTTTATTTTTTATACATAATATAATATGCTATTTTCCCCGAAGCGTTAGGAAGAGGTGCACATTCCGGCCCTTAATGCCACTTGTACAATGTAACCCACTTTTCACTAATCATGTTATGAGTTCCATTTATTTTTTATCTTTTTACTTAGTACAGCTTCTTGAATATTAAACTATTTATTTTGTCTATTGTTTCACAGTTATTTTGATAGTTGTTCCAATTGTATGAACTGCAAGTTTTTTATTAATTAGGTTTTCAGCTTACTCTCATAACCATATGACGAGGAACTCTACAGGTTTCAAGCCATACTAAAAGCTCATATAATATTCATGAGCAACATTCCAAGTTGTTGGGGAAAGCTGCAAGTTCCTTATCAAACAGTAAGCCGAAATAATAATTAATTTAGTGTGTCTCACAAATATTATAAAAAATGCTATTTTATTATTTTTTTAAGTTAATTTTAAACTGTCAAACACCAAGCGGTCACCGGTGACCGTAACCTATTGTTCTATAATTGTGTCTACAAAACCGGTACTCGACGAGTTAATAATATACTTATAATACAACACAATGGTACTAACCTTTGTGATATATCATTTCCAGTAACAGTAACTTGTGTCAGTCTTATTTTCGAAGATTCCAGCTTCTTGCACTTCTCTTTAACACTTATTATCTCGAGATTCTGTAACAAGCATTATCTTGCATTATAACAATGAAGTTAAGTCAATGAAACTAGAAGTACTGTACTGTTATACATTTCATTAGTAGTATTAGTTTACTTTCATTACGATATATACTGTTATAAGTAGTTTGGTACCCCGCAGAGCAAGGTATTCCTTTCTCCATGTTCTCCCTTACTGTTTATCCTTGTAAATGTTGTCTATAGATTACTTATTTAGTGATAAGATCGCTCAATGTACAATAAAGAGTTTTCTAATCTAATCAAAACATACCTTGAAATCTAACTGTGTCCTCAAATCATGCATTTGTTTGTTAGCTGCAGTGAGTTTCTCATTCCATTCCATCTGCACTTTCTCTTGAGCTTTGATCTTCTCTAACCTGGCATTATCCACAGCCGCCTGGCAACTCTTCAACTGTGTCCGGAGTATAGAAGCCTCCCCTTCTTTAGTTACACACTTCTCCAATAACTTTCCATTCTCTGACTTCAGTTTAGCATTCTCCTCCTGCATCTGCAGTAGTTGCCGGTAAACTTGATCTGAATCATGGCTCTTGAACACTTTATCACTAAATATCAATTCATCAGACATGTTTACTTGTCCATTTGTCTTAGGTATAACTTTGGATGAGATACCAGGTAATGGTGAAGATATTCTGCTACATTTCTCTTTCAGGAGGGTTGATATAGCAGAGGGCTGGTTGAATGACGGTTTTTTGAATGAAAATTCGGTTTTAGATGTGCTTGGGGTAGGTTGTAAACTAAGTTGCGTACTTGTTGAACCAGGTTGCATACACATACTGTAGTCTGGCAGCTGACTGATGTCATTGCTGTTGTATGCCTCCTCGCAAGCTTGGCTGGCGAGCAGCAGGATCTCGTCATCATTGTCATCTCCCCAGTTGTCATCATTGTTGGTAACTACGGCGTGAAATAAAGTTACACATAACCTTAACAAAAAATACTTTTTGCAACGTTTTACAAATATATTATTGACGGAAACTACCTTAACTGCTTGCTAAGTATATATTACAGTTAATTTATCAGTGAAAATAGCAAAATAAGATTAAATGTAAAAGTTTACCTTGGTTGAATTCATTGTTTTGACTCAGTGGGAAGTTATGATCTGATATACTAATATCAAGCTTTGCTTTTTTACGTTCCCCATTTGTTTGTGGATAAAACCTTTTGGACATTTTATATAAAATTCATTACAAATTATGTTAAAGTTTAACTTTGGCGGTTTAATTATCAACCGAACGTAAACCAAATCACAATTTACGCGAAAACTGCGAAATAGACTAAAAATGAGAAACGTCAAATCAAGCTGTCACTGTCTATAACTAAAGGTTAGGTCACACAGTTCGTGATTTTTTAATAACTAAGACGTTTTCATAATTAAAAAAATATATATCTTATATAAAGAAATAAGTTAAAATTATTTAATGGTGTATTTTAAATAATTTTTATAATTTCAATAAAAAGTTTAATTAGTAAGAAAATTATCGATTCATGTTCACCGGAAAAAACTGATTTTTCACAGCAATCATAGACTAGATGATAGACGCTGAAACTCTAGACCATCTATGAAGAATACATTTCTCTTTGGTTAGTTCGTCGTGGAAAGTTGAAGAGAGCAGACGTGTACCATGTCTGAGAGTTTTAAACTTGGTGATCTTGTGTGGTATGTATTGAAATTAGAGGCTTTTCAGATGTGTTTGTGCTGTTCAATCAGTTCCAGTGAGGATAATACGTGTCATTTGTTTGTTTCAGGGCCAAGATGAAGGGATTCAGCCCTTGGCCCGGCCGGGTAAGACGCCTTCCCTATTAATTTTGAAGTAATAAATAATAAAACACTCATTTTATATTAGTAAACATCACAAATAGACATTGTAAACAACTGTTGAAGTGTTTGTTGATGAAAATGACAGATAAAATGAACGCTTCATGGGCGGGAAAATTTCCTGATAATTATGAGTGAATGTCTCTTTAATATTGCGTGGCTGGGGTCTAAGGCTAGGAAAAAGTTTTAAACATAGAGTTAGACATCCTCCACAGCTGTTAAAGTTGATAAACAAGTTGAGATATGTCATAATAGTGAGAGAAAACATTGACCCTAATTCTGGTTTGTGATGGTTTTCAGGTAGCCATTCCTACTCCGGAGCTTAAGCCTCCCAAGAAGGCCACAAACGCCCAATGTATCTACTTCTTCGGCACCAACAACTAGTAAGTACCAGCTTTATTACTAAGTAAACAACATTATCTATGGACTATTATTTTAGAATGACTAAAAAGGTTTTATCAAACTTGAATGGGCTATCAAGAGCCTTGTGGTATTATTCACACTAAAAAATAAGTTTGTTCAGTGGTCTTTAAAAACTTTTCAATTCATAGTAGTTTTGGATTGTTTGCCATAGCAACACTGGTACAACACATTACTAAAGCACTAATATCCTTAGATATATTCAAAGAAATTGTCTTCCAAACTAAATAGATTATATCTATGAGGTACCTATTTATAAAGATTCCAATATTTATAAGTATGCTACCAGTTAGAGCATTTGATATTGGTTTATGTTCATAATAGGACTTAAATAATATATCCATATAGCAGAAATAACTATGAATAATTAATTTATTCCCATTTAATTGTAACTATTAACTTGCCCCTTTATGTCATTTCTATGTATAAACAACTATAAGAGTGTAACAATAAGTACACTACAAGTGCATATCTGTTAACCCCTTTGGGCGCCAACAGGTGTAGTTTTATTAATTATAATTAATGGTATTTTAATAAGACCTTTTACAAAATGCTCAATATATAAAATAATAGGTTCATTATCATTTAGTTACATTAATACCCTAATTGTAAATACTAATCATCATACTGTTTTCATAATAACATAGTCAGAGTAACTTTGAATCTACCACAAAACTGAAATAACACATTATATCTCCTAGTGTTACCACAGTAGGAAATCGAAGGTATTTAGTAGTTTCTGCAAGGTACTATAAACATTGATTTAAAATTACTTTGTACGTAATGAAGGATCATGTCATTACAGTATTGTAGAACACTCACTATATAATAAAACTTTCCTTTTTACTCAAAAGGGTTAGACAGAGATGAACATATTAAATGTAACATCCCCAAGAACCCTCTCAATTTGTTATAAATATCTTAACACACCAGCCAAAAGCCGGCCCATTGCTATTAAAAACATTTACAAACTTCTGCATAACTACAGAAGAACTGCAGAAGTAGGTACAGACTTATGCTTATATATTTTTTCTAGAAAGATATATTGGAGATTTGCAAGATTTTATGTTTAGTTAATGATCTAATCACTATACTCGGAATTTTAATTCGATTCCAGATTTGACAATTTCAGTGTTGCAACGTTATGACAAGTACTAAATAGTGACGTTGTGAAAGTATTCGATATGGAAATGGAATATTTCGGGATCGATTCTTCTCGTTTATAATTTTAGTCTAGTAAACTAAGTTTATCAGGAAATTAAATATTTCTGATCGATAATTTAGTTTTGACGATTAATTAACGATCTGAGACTTTTATTTTATAATTGTGTCTGAAATAAATAAAAAAATGTAACCATGAAGGAACACGACAAATAAAACAGATAGATGTGTTATGGTGATAATTTATTTTGTAAATTGTCGCCGTCATCGCTATCGCTATCCTGTCACTTTCTGTAACATTTATTATAAAACACACACACTGATTGTTTATCGATTTTTGTGTTCATCACTATACTATTATATGTGGTATCATTATTTCACAAAATGACAGTAGCTAATGTCAAATCTGGAATCGAATTAAAATTCTGACTATAATTAATTACCTTTTTAAAATAGGATATTAAGATATTTCACCAGCTAAGCTATTTCTTTAATTCCTAATGCTTAATGATCTAATTGTAATTACTATTACTACCAGTGTAAGCTAATTATCCCACAATTAGTAATTTAAGTGTGGGAGATTCATGAATGGGTCAGATCGTGTGGAGTGATATCACGGCCTCACAGAAAATCGACTTAAAACACCACAAGTGTTGTGTTTTGTCTTTCTTCGTGAGGTTACCGGAAGCCCATTTACCTTACATCCCTCCCCAATCTTCCCAATCTCCTAAATCCCTGAATCCCCAATAATCCTCAAATTCGTAATCCCTAAAAGGCCGGTAATGCACTTGTACCTCTGGTGTTTCGGGTGTCCATGAGCGACGCCGGTTGCTTTCAATCAGGTGATCCAAAGACTTGTTTACTGGCTTACCATATAAAAAAAATATTGCATTTGCATGTTCCACGGGTTATTTTTTGGTGAGGTGACTTTATTGTGGTAGTTTTATAAAGTCTATACTTGTCTTAACATCACCTTAACATAAGATCGAATTCAGGATTATTAGTTGAGCCGCTTTAGTAAGTTTTCAACCTCTTAAAATAATTATATTGTGATGTTCACATGATTTTTCGTTTCAATATACGATTTGAACCTCATGTAAATTCTGAAGGAGAATTATGTGAAGTCCATGAAGTTCACAATATTTCTCAATTCAGAATCTTCTGAAACTGATTTCAGTATAATTGGAAACTTGGAATCTAATTGAGAATACAGACTATGTCATTTTCACAAGGTTTGGTTTGTGGAGGCTTACATGGGATTCTTAAGATAAATACAAATTTGAACCTGGACCATAGAAAGACATTATATTTATGCATTTGAAACTAATTTTAGAAGGTAAAAACTTAGGCTCTGGCCGCTCTGGGTAACATGATTATGAAATTAACACATTGAAAATTGTTGAAAATCATCCCCTAAATTTGTTGATACAAAAGTAGTCGCTAAACATTGGAAATAAGGTCTATAATGTAGTTAGTGGAGAGCGGTCACCGGTGTCTGCTTGTGTATAATAATATGTGGGATATATACAAGTCACAAATTATATTTTAGTATAGAAAAATGCTGGGTCACACATATTCAGAAGAGTTTATAAATATATTACAACAATAACGTATTATATTTTGTTGTAGGTAATATAATGTATGTGACTGTTCTCCCTGTGTCCCTAATCTGTGTACCTACTGTCGTTTACCTAATCAATGGTATGGCATCCATCGTGCGCGAATCTGACTCGCACTTGGCCAGTTTTGTACCTAGCTTTTGGGGTTACAAACTAAGGAGTGTAGGGTTCCTATCTCACTAAAAACTATTCTAGTGTCCACCATCAGCTCCTATCGTCGCCGGGTCCTCTCTATAGATCGATATTGATATTTTTGGTTGGGCGGGCCACCGGTAACTTCACTGACACGACAATAATAAACATTCACGTCGGTTTTCTGTAAGGCCGTGGTATCACTCCGGTCGAGCCAGCCCCTTTATGCCGAAGCATGGCTCTTCCACACTTAATTACCTATATATTTTTATGTATGTCACTTTTTACAGAAACATGTAAAGCAATTTTTTAAATGCAACTTTAATATTTTAGTTGAATAGAATAGAACTTTGACTGCACGGTTGACGTGGTGGTTGGGCAACTGGCTGCCGCGCAACGTGTCCCTGATTCGATTCGCGCACGGGACAAGTCTTTGTGTGATCCACAGATAGTTGTTCCAGGTCTGGGTGTCATGTGTATGTGAACTTATGTTATGTATGATATGTTTGTAAACACCCACGACATAGAAAAAAAACCTAGTGTGGGGTATTAAAAAAAAAAAACAACAAATACAGCTACTTCAGCAGTTTTTACTTAGTCAATGAACACCTAAGTTCTAAGTGATCTCTATGAAAGTACAGCAGCATTCTTCCAATTGCCTATTGTATATTCTTTTTTATTTAGCTTCATTATTTTATACAGTGAAACTTGGTTAAGTGAGACATCAAGGGACCTGCAAAGTCGTTTCACTTATAGAGGTATTCCACTTACCCAGTGTCTCAGATATACAGGTATGAATAAATATCTGTCTCATTTACAGAGGGTTCCATTAATAAAGGTGGACTTGGAATTTATGGGTAGAATAAGAATGAGCAAACAAACAATGTTAGCTCAGTTACAGTGGTTTATGCATATAAATTTACTCGCTGTCTCAGTTGTAGAGCTAACTATGATGATAAATCGAAAGAACAAATCCCAGATATAGGGGTTTACCTCGTCCCATTAACAGAGGTAATTCAGTGCCAAAGTGTTGGGACCTCAGCATGAGTTCCAGTTATGGAGGTTTCTCACTTATCCAGGTCCCACTTAACCAAGTTTCACTGTATTTTTAAACTAGCAGCTATCATTTTGATTTGTTTGGAGTTTAATTTAATTTTTTATTTAGGAAAATCGGTTTCTAAGTAGCTTGTGTTAACATTGCTTTAAGGAGGATACTTTATATCATTTTATTTGCAAGTAGTTACAAGTAGTACACATCCGTCCTCCATGCTCATGTTAAGCTGTAGGTATTATCTCAAAACTAAATAAAAGGGAAGCTATCATTGTTATTGCGTCAAGTGACCTCATGATTGAATAGATCAAGAGGTCCCAATTACCAATTGATTTGATCTGCCATAAGAGTAAAGGATGTGCAGCATGTGCCCAAGTATCTACATCATTTCCAGTTTTATTGTTAATCCCCATGCTTGGCTTGGGGGTCTTTTAGAGTTATAGAGGACACTCTTTTAGTTGTCTGGCATTAGGAACTACATATTTGCTCAATAGGCTACAGGATAGTCAACTACTACATGGTTTTCTTTTTCTATCTAAACCATATCAAATACTATTATTTAAAACCACCATTGATAAAGATCTTATTGAACTTATTTCATTTACCTTTCCCTCCCCAAGATCCCCGACAAACAGACCACACAGACTAACTTTTTGTATGAACATACTTTTTAAACCTTCGCTTTTACTTATCTAAACATTTTATAGGAAATTATCATCTTGAACATCTCGTAAGTAGGCAAGACAGCAGATAAGTTTAGTATATACTTATTTTTTGTTATTTTTTTATATTATATTTCTCAAGGTAAAGTAAATGTCCATATCAGGCACAAAATTTATCCCGGGCTAATACTGAAAAAAAAAAGAAAGCCAATATCGGACCTGACAATCGAATGGCGCCACTAGGGATCTCGCCCTTACTCAATAATTTGCGCACACTCGCTTAAGTGACGGACTTAAAGTTTTTTTAAAGTTCTTAGACTTTTTCTTCTTACTCCAATTGCTTTTTTGTTGTCACGATGCTGTTGTGTCCAGCGTTCTTCTAACTAATATACTTTATGCTGACCATTGTAAGTCGTGTCATTGTGCTCCATAGATGGACCAACTACATGGTAAATCACATTCCTTATTCTGTGGCCTGTCAGGTGTCATTTCTGATTGTTCATTGAGCATCAAAGAGCACGTGAAACTCTCTTGACTTACTTGTGACTGGCTATGACGCCAGGTTTGAGTAGTAACAGTCACAATCCTAGAAGTATGGTGGACTGGCGGTAATGTTTCATGTCTTTTTTTATAGGGGGGAAAATCATCCAATCGCTTCTACTGCCTTGAGTTAGGCAAGAGGGAGTGTTAGACTCTTACTAACTAAAAGCCACCCCGGTCCTACTACTGCTCTTTGAGCCGGAACTCCGGCAACCCGTTAAGCCTTCGCGGCTTTACTGGGCCCCATCTGTGGTGGCCCGATGGCTCTCTAAGTCGCGCGTGGAACGCGACGCGCCGTACGCACGGGTCCTCTTTTTTAATTTTTTTTTTAAGGGGGGAAAATCATCGAATAACTGCTCCCGCCTGGGTGAGGCGGAGGGAGTGTCAGACTCTTACTGACTAAAAACCACCCCGTTTCTTCTCTACGCACGGGTCTAGTTCTGGTCAGGCGGCGAGTTACTTTTACTCGCCGTCCGCAAACCCGCACTTACGGTGACCGGAGATCGTCGCGCGATCTCCGACGCCCGAAGTGTCTCCCGCAACGGCTGGTTCGTTCTCTCACGCGGCCCGTCTCCTCATGGGGTAGCAGAATTAGGAGACGACATTAGTTAAAATTCAATACCAACTTTAATTTAGAATAGTTTAAAAAGTAAGAAAGAAATTGGGTTTCTTAAATTCCATCTTAAGTGGGGCCTACAGACCTTATCGTTGGTTTGGTGACAGACTCGCGTTAAATACCAGCTAGAGACACTGAACATCAAGAGGCGTGGCAAGAAACTCTCGTGAACTTCTTCAAAACCTCGAACACAGGCGTAAAGTTGCAGCCTTTTGGTTTTTAACGGATACAATGCAGAAAGTGTGCAAGGGATATGCACAATTCGATTCTCTCAAATCCTTGTCATCATTTTACCACCAGATACAAGGCAAGGCGTTGCTGCTTTTTTAAGAAAAATAGGAATAGTTTGCCAGTCTGTTTCCTGAAGAATTATATTTTGAGTGTCCTCAAAAGTTCAAAGCTCGAGCGTATAAGTTGCTTATGGGCAAGCGCGCTTCATCGTAGATCGCATCATCGACTACTACCAGCCGTGATAGTGGCCAAACGCCATTTCCAATATAAAAAAACAAACGTACGGACGTACGCGTAGAAAACTTAGCTATGTACATATCTGTTACTTGATTGACAATGCATTAACAGGAGATAATGATATTTCCTAACTGTTGACTCTAGCTTCATAGGAAACATCATCATGTCGCAACAAAGACTAGTTACGAACACATGACGTCGTCATACAGTTTTTCCATACCTATGCCGACTCTACAAAATCTAAAGGTCACACAGCTTTAGAGTACACCCAACAGCCCATTATTATTGAAACCTAATTTATAAGCGGGAAGTACTGTTTGTCAAACATTGAAGAAAATACATATTTTTTGCAATGCACTTTTGTTTCTTTGTTCTCTTTCTATCCATGTCACTTGAGTGAAGTTGAGTGGTCGCAAGTGTAACTATTGTCGAAAGGGTTCAAAAGTCGAATGATTAGAATTTTCAGAGCTTGGTTGCAGTACGGACTCAGAAGCTACAGGGCTTAGCAATAGTCTATAGAATTAATAAACAATACAGCTAACAAAGTGTTAAAAGATCAAATTCATAATTAATTACAAATCAGACAAAAATAAATATACAATCAACCTAAGAACCTCTTCTTTTTCAGTGGTTAATAAGAATTCGTAAATGTATAAAACACTCAGCGACAATACACTTGTAAGATGCGATTGTTACATAGTAAAGTTGCATTATGCAGTGAGCAGTCCCCTTCAATTTGCGGGGGCAATTTGTGGCAATCTTTCTTGGCCTCATCATAACACGATTCTAAAAGGATGAGAGAATCATTAGACCACCGAGGTCTTGATACCGGTCCCTTATTGAACCATTTGTTTGTATTAAACGAGACTATTTTGAATAAACGTGCGCGAAAAGTTTATGGAACTTTTTGTTAACTGTCAAACTGCGCAGCTCGCTAGCAGTTTGCGTTTAAATTAGTGCATCGCACCGTTCCGTTTGTTTGAATGTGTTTAATGACTGTTGCTACGTTTAGGTTTATTGTAATGGTATACGTGTCCACGAATATTGCATGTCCACTGATCACTGAGTGGGCTGAAATGAAATGTTAGGGATTGGAGTGCGTACAATTATTCCCTTTAAAAAAAGTGACATTTTATTAAATCCAGTGGTGCAGTTTTAGTGACTATAAAGACACCAATTTGGTAATCAGATATGACCACTCAAAAAAATCATTACATAACTTTTGTCCTCGATTTTTCAATTTTGAAATATTCTTTTAAACTGCAATTTTACAGGAAGGAAGTACGACCACTCATGTTAATAAAAATAAATATAGTTTGCCTCCATAAAAATTGTAATCTTTAAAAAATTGTTCATATCGTTCGTATTTAACAAAAATTCAGAGTACCTAAAATCTGGAGCGTCGATCATAAACCTAGTGTCGAATAGCATGATATATGCCGTGTGCGAATATCGATTTGGTTCCGGCAAACGTGTAATTGGATCTTCGCAGTAAATGTAACTATGTTGCATATATGTGGTAGATTTATCCCCTACCCCTGCGGAACTGGCCGAGCTTGTTTTTCCTAGAATTCCCGGGCGACCTCGCTCCATATTCCAGTAATTATAAAGCAACATACATAACAAAAATGCCTCCCATTCCCTGAAGGGTTAATGCTCTTGTCAGATGTAGCACCCACTCGTCAGTTATGAAGTCTTTATGTCCATTTCACTATGCAAGGTTATTATTTTCCCCGGGTATGTCCTATAACTGCAACCTGTTATTGTGTGATTGGAACTGGTACTGGGGTCCTCTAAATTTCCGGTGCCCTAAATGTGATATCCAAGTTGCCCACCAAGTGTGGTGGTGATTATTGCTAGAAGGGAGGCCTTTGTTCAGCAGTAGATGTTTTCTGGTCTGGCTGATTATAACGACTTTGCTTAGTCCTCAAATCATGATTCCTCGCTCGACAGTCGAGCTTGCAACCACTTGCCCAATGAATGTTTGAGTAATTAAATTATATTCTACATCCACCCTTTGCTAGTCCCAGTGACCTAGATTCGTATATGATATGGAACAGATTTGCACGGTGTATTGATTTTGAGTTGACTACAAAAAATATAGTGCATCAGTTACCGGACGCGCCCGGGTTTGTGAGTGGTGACGTCATCTCACCTCACTTAACGTAAATCGTCCTATCACTCATTTCTACCTTCATATCTATAAGTAAACAGTTATTTTTTCATTGTTTTATGTGCTCAATGGATTGAATAAATTAACTTTTGAATAATAACGTTTTTCAAAACTCTGTAGGAGTACTTACATTGTTACATCATATCATAAATTAATATGTGAAGAAATATGGATAGGGCAATAAGCACAAACGCTGTTTTTGCCTTTCCTTTTAGATAAAAGCTTGTAAATAGGGCAGAATTTAGAGAACCTTAACAAATTAGGTTGTTAGTTTTTTTTTATGGGTGGTTCACTTTTATACAATATGTAGGCCCCATCCAATCTTCACTTGTAACTGCCTGACTGCAGCAATTCCCTTATGAAGTTAGTTACTGATGAACAATTATTGCCAACAGTGCTTGGATCGAAGACAACAACATCAAGCCGTACCAGGAGTTCAAGGAGCAACTGATCAAGTCCTGCAAGACTGCTGCCTTTAAGGAGGCAGTCAACCAGATTGAGGAGTTCATTGTTAGCCCGGAGGTAGGTCCATGAAGAGAGAACCCATTGTCTTTGAGAATGCTCATGTTTGACTGTATATGATATCTTCCTCTATGATTGCTCATAAATGATATTTACATATTTACTTCTTAGGAAGAGAAAGTTTATTAGTTCTCACAAATAGTGAAGTTAATTATTATACCGTTGTTCATTGGTGCGTCAGTATAAAAATGATAAATTTTGTCTGAAATTATGAATTAATTAGACAGTTTCAAAATGTGTGTTGATACTTGATATACCTACGTAATGGTAAATATTGAAAACAAATAATACAAACAAATGCGACTGTTGACAGGTATAAAAATAATTTAATAAAAGAAGCATGTTTGCTAGGTAGAAGTTTATATAAGGCATATTATGTATACAATAAATAAACTAACTCAATATCAAATGTTTAGAAATTCGGTGACCTGGACGACCATGCTCGCAATGCTGAGGAGGAGTTTGACAAGTTGAAGGATGTGTTGGAGGAAGATGAGAACCAGGAGGAGAAACCAGCTGATGAGGAGGTGGCTGGACCTGCCTCTGAACCCACAACTTCTAAGAAGAAGAGTGCTACACCTAAGGTAAGAGAGATAGATCTAATCAAGTAATAACACCATTGTTTAATCGCCTGCTGACAATAATACTCATACTGGAACTAGTCGCCTGTCTTCCATAAAGTTTATTAACTCAAAGAGTATATTACGAACTGTTAAAAATACCAAGCTTATAGTCTATCACCAAGACATACTGCTGCATCACTGCATGGTCAATTTCTGCATGGTTGCATGCAAGCATTCATTCCACTACCGCAGGTACAAGGTACGTTTTACGGCTGACTGCGTCAACTGCATGGTGGCAACATCACCACTTCATAAATGACCATTCTCAATATTTATAGATACGTTTGGGCATTTCTAAGGTGAAGCCTATTAAACGGTCGTCGTCTGCCGGGACCAAGTCGACGCCCCGCAAGAAGAGCAAGGGAATGTCTCGCTCCTACACGGACATTGATGCAGCCAATGAGAAGCCCTCGATGCTGAACCATTCTTTCTCCAAGAAGTCCAGCCTGCTTCATCGTCCTTCTAACATTCTGCGTCCTGTAAGTTGTGTTTCTATTTTATATTATTTTATCAGGTCAATAGACTGATTTTTGTGTTAACGTTTAAGGCCGAAAATCGAAAGTTATTAGAGGCTGTAGTAGGTTGTTGTTGACTGAGTGGTCGCAAATGCGACTGCGGGCAAGGGGTTTCGGGTTCGATTCCCGGGTCGGTCAAAGTATTACTGGGTTTAAAAAAAATCTCAGTAGTAGCACAAAGTCTGTAAATGTGCCTGGTATAGGGCAATAGGCTCCCCCCTATTACTTGGGACTCATAACATAAATAGTGAAAAGTGGGTGCTACATTGTACAGTGCCGTAATGTGCACCTCTGCCTACCCCTTTGGGGATAAAAGGATGTGATGTGTATGTGCAGTATGTTGCTCTGCAGGTGTTTTATTCTATAGCTAGAGACAGGGATAGACTGAATCTATCTACAGTTTGATACATTGACCTAATTTACACAAAGTTAATGAAGTAGCTTGAGTAGGGTTTTATTAAAAGACTAGCTGTTGCCCTCGACTTCGTTCGCGTAGCATATGAATTTTAAAACAAAACTTTGTTATGTTTCAATTTTCCAAAAATAAAAGTAGCATATTTTACTCCTTAGTACATCAGCTACCTGCCAATAAATCTTGCAAAATCTCAAATTCAAATTCATTTATTTGCAAGAATACATATTTACAAAGGAAGATCTTACATCTGTCCAGCCATTCCAGAGATTAGCCAGTACAAACAAACAGACTGACAAAAATTGTGATAAATGTTATTTTAGTATGTGTGTCGTATATATATTTTATTTACTTTTATTACATTTACAAATTTTATTTATCTGTATAGATTCCATGTCTTATTTTTTTTTTTTTTTTATTTTTTTTTTTTTTTTTTCAAATCCGCTAAGGAGTAGACAGAGACAATGTAACACCAACTTCCTACTCATCAGATCTATTCACCAATTATGTTTTGAGTCCCTAGTAAAAGTGGGTGTTTACACACCTTTACTAGCGACAAAGACTACTTATAATAATTTTTATTAACGCCTTGCGGACTAAAGCAGGATTCATAATAAAATATGAATCTGAATG